TCTATAGACATCCTTAGCAGGGGGCAGTCCACCAACTTCCTCCTAATCGTTGCTCAGCAGCCGCCAGCAGCCACCGCCGCTCCAATCGTCTTTGGCTGCCAGTAACGATGACAACCAACCTGGTCCCACCCAACTGGTCCTCGCCTTGAAAAAGAGAAGACGAAGGAAAATTTACGTGCTCGACTTACTTTGGGATGCACGGCAACTCCTCTCTTCGACAAGCAGTAAAAAATTCTCCAAGATCTTTCTCAAGCTAGAAAGTAGAGAAGTTAAGTTTGCGATGTAAGAAAGAGTGAAGAGAAGCCCTGTATTTATACAAGTTGGACAACCCGGGTCAAGAAGGAATCTCAAGCTCTTTCCTACTGGGAATCCAACTCCAACAACAGTCAGAAGCCTACACCAATTGAGAATCCGATCTGCAAAAGGAGTCCAACTCACAGAAGAAAGCCCAGACTCAGTTGGAGAGCCCGAAAAAAATAATTTCATCTCCTACATGCCACACAAGCGCCATGCAGAAGCTGGGGGCATTTGTGGGAGCAAATATTTTCGTCTCCAATCACAGCGCGCCACGTGGAAAAGAAGATTATCTCTTTTAATTAATTAATTGAACCAGTTTATCTGGCCAATTAATTAATTGGGATAAACATCTTAATTAACATGATATTATCTTTATTTAATAAGATAATATCATTAATTAAGATATTATCCTATTAAAGAGAAGATAATGTCATTATCTCATATATTATCTTCATAAAAGGAGATAATATCATTTAATTCAGATATTATCTCCATAAAAAGAGATAATATCATTAAATCAGATATTATCTCAGTCCGACTCGATCCCTACGAATTTGGGTAGAGAATAAACTCAGCATATTCTCCACGAAACCCTAGCCCCGAGGCTCCTATAAATAGATGACTTCATTCATCATTCAAGGTACATCTAAACCTACTCCTTATACCCGAGAACAATACCCGAAGCTCTCTCTTTCTCCCTCTCCACTCTCCATATTTTCTCCACACGGCTCCGGCCACCACACACGGCTCCGGCCGCCCGGTTCACACCCTACATAAACACTACTCCGTACCCTTTGCTTAGCTATTGTTTTTCTACAAACACTCGAACTAACTTAGGCATCGGAGGGCCTTTGGCCAACACCCCCCGGGTGTGGTCTATTTACTCCAATCTATTTTACAGGAATCGAGGAAGAGAGAGAAGGAAGATCGAAGGTTGAAGGATCTAGAAGCGAATATTCTCCCGTGAGATTATTTGCACAAACAGTGATGGCCCAGAAGTTCCTCCAACAGGGCCTAACATTCACTCAGTGTCATGATTAAAGAAGACCCACAAGGGAAAGAAGAACAAACATCATAAACAAACTCCGCCAATTACATGGCAGAATTCATTTTAGAAGAAGCTTGGACCGAAACAATCAGAGGGGAAGAAGAAATCCAACTTGCACCTACCAAGTTAAGTCAAACTCCTCCGAAAGTTCAAGTCCCTCTCGAGGAAGTCAATTTAGGAACTGAAGAAGATCCAAGGCCAACATTCATCAGTGGTCTTCTCTAGCAAACCATACGAACAGAGCTGATCGCCCTTCTAGAGGAGTTCAAGGATTGTTTTGCATGGCACTACCACGAGATGCCAGGGCTCGATAGAAGCCTAGTGGAACATAGATTGCCCCTAAAAGAGGGCTACAAACCGGTGAAATAGCTAAAGTGAAGAATGTCTATCGAGACAGAACTCAAGGTAAAGGAGGAGATCGAACGATTGCTAAAAGCAGGCTTCATCAGGCCAACCCGATATGTTGAGTGGTTGGCAAATATAGTTCCTGTTTTGAAGAAAATCACTAAAGCTGTAAGGGTTTGTGTAGATTACAAAAACCTCAATGAAACAACTCCAAAGAATGAGTACCCAATGCCAATGGCCGACATGCTAATTGACGGTGCAGCACATAATAAGATCTTGTTGTTTATGGATGGCAACGCAGGGTACAACCAGATCATGGTTGTTGGAGCAGATATTCACAAAACCGCATTCAGATGTCCATGGGTAGTGGGAGCCTACGAGTACATTGTCATGCCCTTCGGATTAAAGAATGCAGGCGCTACGTACCAAAAGGCAATGAATGTTATATTTCATGACATGATAGGGCATACTCTGGAAGTGTATATTGACGATGTGGTCATCAAATCTCAGGAACAAGAAATGCATATCGAAGATCTACGCAGGGCTTTCATCAGGATGCGCCAACATCAATTGAAAATGAATCCAAAGAAATGCGCCTTCGGTGTCCAAGTAGGAAATTTCTTGGGATTTCTGGTGCATCAGAGAGGCATTGAAGTTGACAAGAACAAGGCTAAGGCAATTATCGATGCCCCAATACCTCGGAATAAAAAAGAGCTACAAAGTCTTCTCGGAAAAATCAATTTCCAAAGGAGATTTATAGCCAACTCGGCAGGGAAAGTACAACCATTTTCTCCATTACTGAAGATGAAAGAAGGAGACCCATTTGCGTGGGGTCCTATCTAGCAGGAAGCGTTTGATCAGATAAAGCTTTATTTGACCAAGCCACCTCCTCATGCTTCCAAGAAAGGGTATACCACTGAAATTGTATATTTCGGCTTCAGAAAATTCAGTCGGTAGTTTACTGGCCCAAGACAATGAGGAGGGCAAGGAACAAGCTGTATTTATTTAAGTCGGATTTTACAAGATGTGGAGACCCGTTATTCAGCTATTGAAAAACTTTGCCTTGCTCTTTATTTCACAGCAGTAAAACTTCGACCTTACATGCTTCCTTTTACTGCTCATATTATAGCAAAAACGGACCTTATTAAGTATATGCAGTTAGGAAAATGGATATTAGCTCTATCCGAATTCAGTTTTAGGTATGTTCCTGAAAAAGTGGTTAAAGGGCAGGCGATTGCATATTTTCTGGAAGCTCACCCTTGTGTGGAGATTGAAGATTTAAGCACTATGGAGATTGCCAAGTTAGGTTTCTTGCCTGGTAAAAGAACACCAAAGTTCGAATTCAAAAGTATGCTCAGTAATTTACCAAACAAACGAGGCCAGGTCCAAATATCAGTCAAAACAGTACAAATCAAACCCTAGAAACTGTACTTTGACGGATCTAAGACAGATTTAGCTGCCGGCGCAGGCATTGTCTTAGAAGAGCCGTTCGGGACCAAGTATGCCTATTTTCCAGCTTGACTTTGACATCACTAATAACAGAGCTGAATACGAAGCTCTGATTATTGGCCTAGAAATGGCACTGGAGTTGGGGGTAAAACATTTAGAAGTGTTTGGAGATTCTCAGTTAGTGATCAAACAACTGTCCAACGAATACAAATGCAGAGACCCGAATATGGCAGCCTATGTGGTTGCTTGCAACTTGAGTTCTATATTCAAAACAATATCAGTCAAATACGTCACAAGGGACCGGAATCTGGTTGCCAATGAAATGGCACAAATCGCTTCCAGCATTCAAATTCAGGAGAGTCAGTCCGAAAGAACCATCACAGTACAAAAGAGGTCCATACCTTCAATCCTCCGTAGAGGAATGGACCTTGAGATAAATACCAATAAAATACAAGCTGGAGACTGGAGAAAGCCATTACTCGATTACTTAACCAACCCAGCTCCTAGAGCAAATAGGAAAATCAAGTATCAGGCTACAAAGTTTGTTGTTATAAATAACGAACTATTCAGAAGGGAGGGAATTATATTACGGTGCCTTGGACTCCCAGAATCAATGCGTGTTATGGGCGAAATTCACGAAGGTACTTGTGGGGCACATCAATCTGGAAAAAAGATGCGTTGGCTTATCAAAAGATATGGCTACTTCTAGCCAACAATGGAGAAAGATTGTTTCAATTATGCTAAAGGATGTGAAGATTGCCAACGAAATGGCCAGATTCAGCATGCTCCAGCAACCCTTTTAAATCCGATCATAAAGCCTCGACCCTTCAGAGGTTGGGCCATGGATTTCGTAGGAAAAATTGTACCAAGCTCTAGCAATGAACATGCGTTCATCATTGTAGCCACAGACTATTTCACGAAATGGGTAGAGGCTAAAGCTTTGAAATCTATCACTTCAACTGCGGTGATCACCTTTATCAAACAACAAATCATTCATTGATTTGGAATTCCAAAGAGCATCACCATAGATAGAGGCATTTCCTTCATTTCAAAAGAAATCCAGGCATTCGCTGAATAATATAACATCAAATTCGTGCAATCTAGTCCTTACTTTCCACGTGCCAATGGCCAGGCGGAGTCTACTAACAAAGTCTTGATCAACATTATCAAGAAAATGGCGGATAACAACTCGAAAGACTGGCATGAAAGATTTTCTAACGCACTCTGGGCGGATCAAACTTCTAAAAAGACTGCCATAGTCTCAACACCCTTCACTCTCACCTACGGGCATGATGCAGTCTTACCAGTTGAGATCAATGTACAGTCACTGAGGCCATGATGAAGGAATTAGAACAACTTAGTTCTATTCGGGCCAAAGCTTTGAATCATTTGATGGTCGGAAAACAAGTAGCGGCACGGGCTTATAACAGATGAGTTCGAGGGAAAACTTTTGAAGAAGGAGAATTGGTTTGGCGAGCTATCCTACCATTGGGAACCCACTTGTCAGGACTAGGAAGTGGAGCCCTACCTGGGAAGGTCCTTTCGTAGTTAACAAGATTTTGGGAAAAATAGCATATTTGCTACAAGAGAGAGATGGAGCTGTACATCAACATCCGATAAATGGACAATGGTTGAAAACGTTGATACCATCTTTATGGGAATTGACAAGCCTGGACCTAAGTAGCCCCTGACATGTACATTTCTTTTGATATAAGAATCCAAGAAATGAAAGCCGATTTTATAAAAAAAAACCATCATATAGGGTTTTTATATCTGAAGGTCCAAAATCCCAAGCATAAATAACAAGATAAATATGGTCAGAAGTGCTTTAAGAATTACACGAGCAAATCCAATAAAGTCTTTATCTTTCAACAAAGTGTCGCGTGTCCACGCGAAGCTTGTCAAGACAGATCTTTCTCAACTTCTCGTGCCATAGTTCCATACCAACTTCCACATCAACCTTGTCTATGTCCTCTTTGACAGTAGTTAGAGCCGTTAGCATTTGATCAACCTCATCATGGAGCTCCTCTTTCTGCAAAAGCACCTGCTGCAGACGAGCTTCCGAAGTCCTTAGTCGCTAATATTTTTCCATAGTAGCTCATATTTTTCCAATTCTTCGTGTTGCGCTTTCATTTCATTTATGGACTGGGCCAGTTCTGCCTCTAGTTGGGCCAAATCATGATAAAATTGAGCAAGGCCACTGTGCTTAAATTTGTCAACCAAAGCCAACATGTCCGATTTAGCAGTCTCGAAAGAGGACACAAATCCGGATAGGTGGGACTAAGGGCGTCTAAGGCATCACAGACTTTACCCCTCTGTTCTTCTCCCACTCTCTCTTCTGTTGAGAGGGTCACCCATTTTGCTAGCATCAGTTTAGCCTTATCCTTGGACATGGCTGGAATCCCAGACTTCTTAGCACGCGAAGCACCCAAATTATGACCAGCTTCGGTACGAGCCGTGGGTTCCACCGTTAGCTCAGGCGCTATGTTTTCAGCCTCAAGTTCCCGGTAACCTGGGATGCACGGTCTTCGGGCAAAGGCATCTCGGTCTCCTGCCAGAATACGCACATACTAAATTACCTTCTACAATTTCTTTCTCAAAGAACAAGTTGGAGTTATGGAAAACATACCTTCATATTAGGAACCAACGATTCCCCTTCAAACCCAGTTGATTCCACAGCAGGGGTCAGTTCTTTGATAACAACTTCAAGATTGATCTCTTCAGGGACTGTTCCCTCAATCCTTATTTCTCCAACAACCAGGGGGCATTCAGTCTCTGTCGGCACAGGTGTCTCAGCTGTAACTCCTCTCACCCAGCTAAAAACAAGGGGAGAATATTCGGTTTTTAATACTTCTTGTTGTTGAAAAAAAAAAATTTTACCTCAGAAGAACGTGCTTCCCTCAAAGATGAACAAGGTTGAGGTACCACCTCATCTGCTTCAACAGCCTCTTCATCATGATCTTCCACAATAGGATTCGAAGCAGGAGTTGGACCACGAAAGTCAGGAACCTACGAAAACAGTCACACATAAGAGAGGTAAAGCTGAAAAATACAAGGAAAAGAAGGGGTCCAATAAATTACTTGGGGGCAATTGGAGCCGATTCAGAAGCTTCCTTGACCCGCTTAGTTTGAGCAGTTTCAGTTTGAGCCTGAGCACTGTCACCATGATCAACCTCTTCTGGCAACGATCTCTTCTTGCCTACACAAGGAGGAAAGGGCTCATTAGCAAGTAAATAGTACAAATTACCCAGAAGAGTCAAGTTACCTGAATAAGGAAAGGCCAAAGGAGCAATCCGAGACTCACGAGTTCTGGAAAGGCTAGCAGTCTTGGACGCAGGGACAAGAGGAACGCCTACTCTCCCTAAATTCCGCCTCCGCTGAATGAAGATGAGAGCCTTTGGAACAGATAAACTCGAGACATAACCGGGATTTTCTTTAGTAAGGGCCATCAATTGAGCAGAAGAACAAAGAGTTTGATAATTGGCAGAAACTGCATAGGAAACTCAGATAATTAGAGAAGGAGAAAATTACTTCAAATAGCAAAGTTTTCTTTATACTTACTAGTTAAAGGAAGTTTGTTATCAACCGCAATCTGTTCAAGCAAAGCATGCCTTCTTTGTTCGCTAAGATCTTGGCGAAAAGGTCAGCTTTTGTATGCAGCATCTATGGCTCCAAATCTACCATGATAATTGTTCCACCAAGATTAAAAGGGCAGGGTGCCACAGCAAATAGGTTGGTAGGGCTTCAACTCCAGAGCCCTAGCAGATTCTTCATACTTGGCCCGAACCTGCAAAAGATCTTCTCGACTTAGTTTAGGGAATCGATAGGACGAACCCCTGTTGATCAAAGAATAGTTCAGCTCAGGGATAACCTGGGGGCACCTAAGCTGTCTGCTGAAAAATTGAGGGTTATAGGCCTTTACACCATACTGATAATTTCTAGAATCCATTCTACCGCCACAAGGCAAATCCAGAGATTGCAAGCACGAAAAGAAGTCCATATTCCCAGAAGCAAGGGAATTATTTGCATCCTTGGGGGCTTGATAAATAAGCCTATCCGCGAACCAGGAGCAACTTCGCTTCAAGTTCATCATCCACTGAGTCACACTCCTGTTCTTTCTGCCCATAAAGAAGGTGAAACATTCTTCAGTTGTTTTACCAGAAACCGAGTTCAAAATCAAATCTCTTAAGGGCATTACGTCGAGGGCAACCTGCAAATCTCGTCCGTTCATTGTAGCCAGATTTGCACCATCCACAAAGGCCCCTTCACATTAAGATTAACAGGCGCGACGGTCGCTTCTCTCAAAGCCCTATAAATAGAACCCAAGACCAAAGGGCCAGTAGCAATGTCTCTATGGGATGCTAAACCCTCGGCCAGATGAAGCGATTCCATTGTAATGCAATTAGAGGTGCTGGGGAAGATAAACTGGTTCAACAAGAACATCAGAAACATTATATGCTCACCATGAGGGTAATCCACCGTTTAATCATAATTGCACCCATAAAAGCCCCAAAGGCCCGGTTAGAACCAATCAGGCCCGAAAGAATCTCATGGTTTTTTTTTCTTTCTTGCTTTTTCGAAGGACACTCTTGAAAATCACCTAGCCAATCGGCACTTCGCCCATGAGGACGAAACCTGAAAATCACCGCAAGATCAAGGATAGAAATCGACATGGGCCCGATGCCAAAATCGAAAGTATTGGAAGCGCTATTCCAGAAGACCAAAGAGGAACCTAGAATAGGCGAATCGGCCTGGAGCTGAATAGTAGAACACGTTATAGTATGATAAATACCATTATCAAGCCAACAATCTTTGTAACGCAGCTCCATTCTAGCCACCCAATCTACCTAGCGCAGGTCAATGCTGGGACACGTCGATTTTTGGAAAAAACCGAGGAAGCATCTTGTTCCAATTCGACTAGTCGACACCCTCGGCATGACAGACGGGAATAGGAGCCCGAATAGGATGAGTCCCATAATTCCACAGTTGATTAGATTTACGGTCTACATATCTGGGGCCTAGAACGCAGTAATCATTTGCGAAACTAATAGGGTCTTTGCAAAGTAGGAAGTCCACTCGGCCGACGGCGAACCTATAAACCCAATCGTCAAAGATGGCGGCAAAATCTTTTACCCTTGGGCCCGAGATAAAATCAGGAAGAGCAGTAGTATCTTCGGAAGAAGATGATTCAAGAATAGTAACAGGAATTTTCTTTGGCGCCATTCTTAGAAAAATGAAAAATGGGAATTGGAGTTTAGGGTTCGAATTTTTTCTTGTTTGAAAATATGAATTTTGACACGATCAAGAGAAGATAGAAAGATGAGAAAAAAGCTCAAGAAGTTATCTCTCGAGCGCCAGAACCACTGGCAGCAATTTATGTCCGAATGTCCTTTAGCTTAACCTCCAATTCGGCCTGTAGCCAAAGATCAGCAGATATGTCAGCCCTTAGCCCTTCTTCCTCCTTCTCCAGAACCTGGAGCTGGTCTAAAACCTTCTCGGTGGCTTCAGCTAGGTCCACGAACTCCTCCTTGCGATCACAATGATCCTCCAAAATCTCTTCTGGATCTCTCGCAGCAGGAAGAATATCTCTGATTATGCAGATATGCTTCAAAGTCCTGCTCAGCCACTGCTCCAGGTGCTTACACGCGGGGGCAAGATGAGACTTCATCAAAGCAATCTAGTGAACTTGAGGCATCATGCCTGATAGGGTATCAGGATCTGTCACCGGATCAAAGTTAGGAGCTCGGATTGTATTCCAAAGAGACCTGAGGTTATTCATCGCATTAATAAGCACCACATTAGGCTGCCTCATCTCCATGACAATACGCTTGCCCATAGCACTGGTAATAATGAAAGAACATTTAGATTTGGGCCCGTAAGGCCTTGGTAGCGGTAACGGCAGCATTTGGGCCCGAATGTGATTCATAAGGTGGAAGATCAACTCCATCTTTGAGCTTGATGGTCCTTACCTTCAGCAGCACCATCTTGGATGCTTTGACAACAGGAGGGCCAGAGACCGTTTCCTTACCGGATTGCTGCAGAATGCAAATGAAAATTAGAAAAGGACAAAGCTTTTCTCAAAGTAAAAAGTAACTTGAATAAGGACAAACCTGAGGCATATCTTCTGGGCCCACTAAAGACGCTTCCTTAGTATCAGGGGAAGATTCTACTAGCACCCTCTTGCTTCCAACTTTAAGAAATTACAAAATTAACATTAGAAAGGGGCAAGAGATAATTCTACCAAAAGTAATACGGGCCCGAAAAGAAGGGCATACCATCTCCAGGGACCGAATCAAAATCTGATGCTCCTCATTTTATTTGAAGCGGTATCCCTCCTTCTTCCTCATCACTATCTTCTTCTTCTTCTTCATCAGGAACCTCCAAAAGAGCATTTCCTTTGTCTTTTGACCTAGGATGCAAACCAGGAGCAGAAGGAGGCGCGGGAGAGCTAGGGGGCAAGACTTAAGTCTCATCATCAGCAGGAACAACACCCCGAGCTACAAAGGAGATACTAGACAGTCAGTTTCGCTTAAAATCAAGAAAAAAAAAGAAACCTCGACAAGAACTTACCATTCAACTCAGGATCACGTGGTTCATCAACGGCAGTTTCTGTCAAAATACCAAAAACAATTTAGATTGTTAGAAATGGTATAACTGGCTTAGAATGAAAAGCGATAAAAGGAGTGCACCTTTACCTATCATAGCTTCACCTTGGTAGCGCACCAAGTTGTGCAAAAGGGCAGTTCTGGAATGTCGAGGTATAGAGGAGCTTAGCAGGTTCGGGCAGCCAAGAAGAAAGCCTATCTTGCCAAAATTCATAAAATGAAGGAGTACAGAGTGGAGAGGGGTCAGAAGGCGGCACTCTCACTTTCTCAATTCGGCTCTGCCTCAAAGCCCTCACTAATCTAATTTCCTGAGGAATCATAGACAGGTTCCCCCATGAACTTCCTTTGTTCACCGAGCTGTATAGCAATTCAAGAACGGCTTGAACGAGCCCAAACTGGCGACTCACATACTAGGGATTATAAGCTTTCGCCCTGTAAGCACATAATTTGTCAGAATGAGTCCTTCCGAGGAAAAGATCTCTGCTGGCCAGACAGGAAATGCTTATATCAGCATGCAGCTGGGACCGAAAATCAAGTAAATTTTTACAGTGTCGAGAAGCTTCGTGAAGACTCATTTCTACAAACCAGAACGTGTTACTAAACAGAGAACGAAGGTAGACTGTCCTGGGACATTGTCAACATTCCCTAAAGAAAATGAAGCACTCAGTGCTGACTAGTCTTCTCGGTCTGGTTGCTAGTGCATTAGCGGGAGCATCCTCTGCTGAAGCATTATCTTCCAAAGACTCAGACCCCATGCTCCCCAGTTCAGGAAAATACCACTCCAGCCATATCTGGAGCATCCAGATAGGACCACAGACGTCCAGATTAAATGGGTTGATACTGATTTGATGAAGACAGTGGTAGAGCAAGGCCAACATAAAAGGGGCTGTTGCCAAATCCGACTCATTATGGAGAGCTTCCGCTAAATGCATGTATTCGCTTCACACCTTCATCAGCATGAGGAAAAACAAATTTGTTTAGCCAAAAAAGCAAAAACATCATATGCTCCTTATCCTAATCAGCCATACCCTGATACGTCATCACAAAGCCCAAATAGGCTTTCAAATGCATAATTTCGGACGCATAAGCCCTTATGGGAACCCCAACCTTCCGATTTTTCATATCGTAATCCTCTTGGGCATCGATACTAAGACCATGGGGCCTAAAGCCAAAAAAGGCTGCCATATCCAGAACAATAGGAGTCATAGGCCCATGACCTAAAGCAAATGAATTCAAAGTGCTATCTCATAAACAAAAGGCAGCACCTATCAACGAGGGGTTCAGAGCAATTTGGTGTTTCGACAACATAATGGCTTGGAAGATACCATTCAGCATCCATTTGTCCTTAAACAGGTCGAACATTGCGTCTACCCAATCAGCCCAAGGGAGGAAATCCTCCGGAAAAGGTATGACAGGGTTCGAACCTAACCATTCCAGATGCGCGTCCCATGACCTCCAGTCAATATCTTCCAAACCATAGGAGAATGGCGCTCTAATCAAGCAAGTATAATGCGGACCCAGAAGTAGGGTTCTGTAAGGACCTCTCAGCATCAATGGGAGAGGAGAATATAGCCTTACCGAACTAGCCGACTGCGCTTGCACAAGAACAGCCTGAAATTCAGAGGCATGTTTTGTTGCTTCTTCTTCTGACATCCAACTAGGAGTTGTGGTGGAAACCTTAGTAGTTTGCGAGCATTTTGGAGCCATGGCAATGTCTCTGAAGGAAATAAGAGGTAACAACGACGGAAATAAAAGAAGAAGAGATCTGCACAGTGGTCTTTTCAGGAAAAGGAGTTGGAAAAGGAGTTCGAAGAATAAGAAGTTGGGAAGTTCTCTTTTCGACAGGCCGAATTAGTTGCCAGACGTGAGATGTGGGAAGACAGTTGATGTCTTACCACCCCTAAGATGGCGCGTACCTTTCAAAAAATTTGTGCCATCATGATGTGATATATCTGTGAGAAGCTAAAAGGTCTGATTTTGATAGACTTGACCTAAGCCCATCAAAACTAGGGGGCAATGTTTGTACCCAATTTTGGTAGATAGGCCAAAAATGGTCGCACAGTTTGAAAAGATATTTTAAAAGATAGAGTCAGGCCCATTAGCATTTGTTTGTCTCGGAAAGACCATCCTTCTCACGATTGGGCCTCTTTGAAGGGATGAATAAAAAGGCCCAAGTTCAAGAAAGTCAAACCTCTATCTCACGCTACACGTCAGAAATTGATAAGCGTGTTTTCTGAACCCACGTGGGAGGCTGAAGGAGATTATCGCATTTAATGACGAATTGACCTCTTGCTCGCCCAGCAAGAAAGCAAGTCGTATGGAAGCCTCCAAAACCAGAAGATCAAAATTGCTAGCTAGGATTTCAAGTACAGGAAGTCAAATCAAGAAAACTCCACAAAGAAAACCGACGATCATTGCCAGAAATCCTCCATCATTCCCTCCATAAATACGTCAAGCAGCAAAATTAATGAAGCTGAAATTAAAGATATTATTTTTGAAGTCTCCAAACACCCAATAAACCAAATGAGGAGAAAATTAACCACAACAAACAGAACTCATTAAATATTAGCTCCAAAATTATGCAACCCTCACCTTAAGATTACAAATGCAATCATACACACCACGCCAAAAACCTCAAAAAGTTATACATAGACCACATGTTGAGAAATATATATATAGGACCTATAAAAGGACCAAAAATTTGAACCAAACAGTCATCTGCAAGAACTCTTGTAGCAGTGACTTGAACCAAAGGAGAAAAACAAAAATGAGTTCAACAGTTCAACTTCAAAAGCTTTGATCCCAAAGAACAGATGTGGGGATTTGAAATAGGAATAGCCCCAAATCTCTCACTGAAACCCTTGTTGACCACATAAATATTAATCAAGCACCAAAACTTAAATTTAGCGAAAAAAAGAGTGGCATCGAAAATAATTTATAGTTGCAAAATAGATAATAAAGGCTTACAAATGAGGAACGAAGAGAAACCAAAGAGCGAACGAGCCAACGAGACAGAAAAAGACATAGTAAGATTAGAGAAATTACCAAATAAATTGAAACCCTAATTGAAATAATCTCATATGGAGGACGACGACGAGGAGAAAGAGGACTCCGTTGAGGAAGAGGACACCGACGACGAAGGTTGACGAAGGGACTCCGATGGCTGTTCTAGACGAGGAGGAGGACGTCCATGGCTCTCTCTTTTAGGGTTTAGGTATAGATGATGACATAGATGGAGCACATAGAAGAAATTAGTGAAGAGGAGAGATGTTGAAGGTGAGAGGGATGAGAGAGTGATTGTGATTGTGGGTATAGCGAGAGAGGGTTTAGGGTGACTATGGGTATCACAAGAGAGATGAAAGGGAGTTTGAAGGATGAGAGCGACTGTGACTGGGTATCGCGAGAGAGAAGAGAAGGGGTTTAATTTTTGGCCAAAAATATGAGAGGGAGTCTGAAATATTCACCAGCGAGCAAAAAATTTTAGCAAAAAATCACTATAGCGATCAACCATGCTTTTGGTGTCGGTGCTAGATGTACTGCTTAAATTTGTTTTTTTGCAGAACCATTTTACGCATCAGTATATTTATATCATAGATGCTAAATATAATCAACGGCATCAGTAGGAAAAGCCAAAAATTTACGCTGATGCCTTTATATGCTTTGTCTTATTATTTAAAAAATCGATGCCTAATATACTAATAGCATCGGTTTTTCATTTCACCGATACCTATGTAGTGTTGCGGAAAGTGAAATTTGGCATATTGTTCAGAAAATTGTCTTGTGGATTCTAATGTTTATCATGCAACAAACAATTCTCAAAGTACCAGAAATAAAAAATAAAAAAAATTAAAAGAGAGTTGGATTTAAACTTGAAAAGTTTAAAGCCTTGAGAAAACTGAAGAATGTTTGGTTAAATTTGAAAAGATAATTAATAATGATTGGAGGTGAACCGTGTATGATTTGATGTACAACCTACAACATCTCTTCAGTTAATTCAAAGGGATGGTATCGTCTACACCACTGTCCACAACCGCCATTGTGCTCGTTACCATCTCCTAGCCATTCTCTCTTGATCTTGAAGAAAGTTAAGGTTCCACTCCAAAACCAATTGGCAATGAGGAGAGTAGCTCAACTCCTTATAAGCCCTTGCTAGGTTTCTCAACTTTCCAATGTGAGAATTTTTACCTTCACATTCTCACACGCCCCTGCACGTGTGGTGAATTTTCAAACCTAACAAGTAGACAACACATTTTTGGGTGACGTGGATCATGTATGGCCGTTGGGCTTTCACACGTGAGCAACCCACTTTGATACCATGAAGAAAGTTAAGGTTCCACCCCAAAACTAATTGGCAATGGGGAAGTAGCCAAACTCCTTATAAGCCCTTGCTAGGTTTCTCAACTTTCTAATATGGGACTTTTTACCTTCACATTCTCATAGGTCTTCCCTCGTCGTCGCTCTCACCTTCGTTTCATCACTACCCTCTCTCCGGATATTGACATAGGACTTTCATAGAAGGTGGCATTTCTATCTTCGAGTAATCTGTTTGGACTCCTTCACCAAAGTCCAAGCACTTGCCTCATTTCTGTTTTAAGCATTTAACAATCTTTAGATATATACATACATACATACATATATATATATATATATATATATATATATAAGATAGCTTGTATAATAAGTAAAATAAAAACGACGGTAACACAATAGTTGTGGTATGGTATTTAAGATGATGGTAAAATATAACCTATCGCCATAGTGTAAAAAGTTAGACAAAATAAACACAATTACCGACATCGTGTTACATTTCATACAACAGTGGAAAGAAAAAAAAAAAAAACCAAAAAAAAAAAAAAAAAAAAAAAAAAAAAAAAAAAAAAGGGGGGAGGAGAGAAAAACAAAGAAAAAAAAAAGAAGAAAAAAAAAAAGAAAAAAGAAAATGCAAAAGAGAAGAGAGAGAAACAATTACTTTGTTTCTATTTTTTGCAATAAATCTTTAGATATATAAGATAGCTTGTTGAACAAGTATGAAATTGATACTTACGTGAAAGGGGGTAAAATAAAAGTTACTTTAAATACTTACCAACGACACAAAGCTTAACTTAACTTGAGATCAATATGTTTAGTCAACTGTTAGTCATAAACTAGCAACAATCACACACAAAGGAAATAACCAATACTTGCAAGGGAAGAAGATTACTAGTGACAACCTAA